CTTGAATGATTAGATCAAATAGTAATCCTCTCCTGAGAGCATGAAAACTATGGGAGGTAGGCTTTATTATTTTTTCATATTGATGATTGGTGGAAGGAGAGTCTGTTGAACTGACTAGATGGGGAAAAACAGGGATTTGAGCAATGGAGGTGGCAGAGGCCACATGCTTCAGTGATTTCTGTTTTCAATTAACCAGGAGACAAAGGAAATCAAGGGCCAAGGAGGGCAGCAGTAGCCAGTCCCCACCAGGGAAAAACGTGTTTCTGAATCGCTGAAACCTCTGAAAGAGTTCTCAGGGAAAACCTTTTGGGGCTCCTGTTAGCAAATGAACCTGCAAAAGACCCAGAACCCTGTGCTCAGTGGGAATGTGAACAATCCAAAGAGGAAAGTCCAGAGCTCTCTGGATGCAGCAGACGATCTGGGGTTCCTCAGCAAGAGCCAGGCCTGGCCCCGCCTGTTCTCCTGATGTCAGTCTGGAAAAGTAGGCAACTCTTGTTAACCAATACTTTCAAAGAATTGTTTTACCAGACTTGGGATTGGAAAGGAGATAAGTAGTTTTAGGTGTGGAAGCGCTTATTCAATTTTTTAGATCTGTACTGACTGCATTTGAGAGAAAAGCCTTATTGGGTGATTTAGTTTATTTTCACTAAGCAGACAGAGAAGGAGTTATAGGTAGACCAATAGATACACACATGCACACAGATATATATAAATATGTATATGACAGTTTATTAGCCCAATTCAGATTTCAGCAACTGCACATACTATTTAAATTGTGTGTCAGCTTGAATTAAGGCCAGGGGCCCTTTGTGGGGAGAGGGTTGGGAGTTGGTTGCCTGGTTTTTGGTGTGCACTGGGTGTATGTGTGGTATTTTTAGTTTTCATGTCTTTGGATGGTAGTATAATTGACATGCCATAAAATTCACCCATTATAAGTGTACAGTGTAATTTTTAGTCAATTTACATAGTCGTGTAGCCATCACCACAATCTAGTTTTAAAACACTTGCATCATGCAAGAACGTTTCCAATCATACCCATTTGTGGTCAGTCTCTGTCCCCAGCCCCAGCCTGCACCTGATCTGCTTTCTGTCTTGAGTTTTGCCTTTTCTAGAAATTTCACACATGGAATCATACAGTGTGTAGCTTGTGTCTGGATTCTTTCACTCAGCATGATGGCTTTGATGTGTATCTGTGTTTTTGCCGGGAGTGGTGTCCCATCATGTGGATGGATACATGTGGATACATTTTGTTCATTCATCTTCAGTTTGAGGGACATTCCAGTGTTTCTGGTTTGAAGCTGTTATGGATAATGCTGCCATGAATGTTTTCATGTGGGTCATGTTTCAGTTTGTTTTTGGAGGATTCTGGGGCAACCTCCTGAGGGTTTCCATGACACCTGGCAAAGTTAAGAAAACAAGGACAGACTTTTTTGAGACTGTTATTATTCCAGCCTCCTGAAAACCACACACTTGGATCTGCATTTGCCCTCCTTTCCAAGCAGTTTTAAAAGCAGTGAGAAGGAAGAAGCCTGCGGGCAGGTCACAGTCCCACTGGCCTGAGAACAGCGCTGCTTCCCAGGCTTGCCTTACTGTGGATTTTGTCCTTCCTTGTCACTTTTTTCCCTACTGTGGATAAAGTTAATGCAAAAGGAAAAGTGGACTCATGCTAACCAACCGATGATAAACCTGTTTACATACTCTGAATGTCTTTCTATTTCTCCGCCATGTTTTCTTCAACATTTTTATCTTTTTTAAAGGACACAGTATAAACTCAATATGAAGGAAAAAAAATGACAATCAAACATAGGAGTTACTGTTTAATCAGAACAGAATTCCAGTTTTGCAAGAAATGAGTTCTGGAGTCAGATGGTGGTCAATGCAAGTGTACTTAATGCCACTGTGTACACTTAAAAATGGTTATGATGGTAAATTTCATATGTATTTTTAAAAGGAATTTTTAAAAATCAAACATAAAAAGGAAGTAGTTACAGTAAAAATGGGAAGTAATCCTTTACTATGATCTTTCTCCCGAGAGGTAGCCATGGTTAACAGTTTAATGATTAACCATCCTTGCAGATTTTTTCACATACATTTATAAACATGTATTTGCTTTGTAGCTTGCTTCTTTTTACTTTATAATATATCAGCCATATTTTCATGTCAGCATATATGTGTCTGACTCACTTTTTTTAACTACTACAAAATAATCAAAGAAAAGGCTAAACCATAGTTTATCAGGACCTGTGGGTTGCTTGAATTTTTGCTCTTTCAAAAACTGAATATTCTTGTTCAAGTATTTTTGATAAATGCTTTGTATTTCTTTAGAATAGTAACCATGGACATGCTCATTAATGGGCAAAAAGACATTTAAAGATCCTGCCAAAGTGCTTCCTACTGACATATGTATAAGTGCCAGTTTATACCACATACTCACCAACACCACACATTATCAGTACTTACAATCTAGATAAATCTGATAGGAAAATAGAAATTATGTCATCTGGTTTTAGTTTTAATTCTCTGATTATTAGTGAGGTTGAGCATATTTTCCAATGTTTATGTGGCCATTTGGTTTCATCTGTGAATTGCCTGTTTATATATATTTGCCCCATTTTTTATTGAATTCTTTATATTTTTCATATTGATTTATAGGAGCACTTATTTATTGCAAATATTTTCTTTCAATCTATATCTTGTCTTAACATATAATTTTCTCTAGGATATTTTTTGCCATTAAAAATGTTTAAATGATTTAAACATGATTTAAATGATTTAAAAATGATTGTAAAGTCAGCCTTATGTGTCATAACCTAAAGGCTTCCTCTCTTGCTTAGAGAGGGCTTCTTCTTTGAAAGATAACAAAGTTTTCTATTGTGTTTCCTTCTAATAGCTTTGATTGTAATCTTTAGATTTTTAAATACAATATGCCTTTAGATATAAAATCATATACCGTGCATTTCACGTACCAACATTTCACTCATTTAAAATGTACAAGTCAGTGGTTTTTAGTATATTCAGGGTTGTGCAACCATCACCACTATGTAATTTCAGAGCATTTTCATCACCCCATCAAAAAACCTTATCACGCATTAGAAGTCTCTTCCCATTTCCCTCCAATTCTCCCAGTCCTCAACAACCATCAGTCTACTTGCTACCTCTGTGGATTGGCCTATTCTGGACATTTCATGTAAATAGAATTATACAATTTACAAAATACATGGTACTTTGGGACAGGTTCTTTCCTTTAGCATATTTTCAGGGTCCATCTGTATTGTAGCATGTATCAGTATTTTATTTCTTTTTATTGCCAAATAATATTCCATTATATGTATATGCCATGTTTCATCATGGACATCTGAATTATTTGTTTTTTGATTATTATGACTAATGCTGCTATAACCATTCATGTACACATCTTGGGGTTTTTTCCTTTGACTTTTTTAAATTGTGTAAATATACAAAATATAGCATTTGCCATTTTAATCATTTTTAGGTCTACACTTCAGTGGCAAGAAGTAGAGTCACAGTGTTGTGCAACTATCACCACTATTTCCAGAACTGTTTCATCATCCTATACAGAAATTCTATACACATTAAACAAAACTCCCCATTTTCTCCTTCCTCCAGCAGCTAGTAAACTCTATTCTACTTCCTGTCTGTATGAATTTGTCTGTTCTCAGCACTTCATCATATAAGTGGAGTCATACAATAGTTGTCTTTCTGTGTCTGTCTGTTTTCACTGAGTTTTCACTGAACTAATGTCTTGAAGATGCATATATGTTATAGCTTTTATCAGAATTCTTGTCCTGTTTAAGGCTGAATAATACTCATTGTATGTATATACTTCCTTTTGTTATTCATTCACCAATTGATAGATATTTTGGTTGTTTCTACTTTTTGGCTATTGTGAATAATGCTACTGTGAGCATTGCAGTACAAATATCCATTCAAGTCCCTGTTTTCATTCTCTTTTCAGTATATACCTATGAGTGAAATTGCTGGATCTTATTCTATGTTCAACTTTTTGATGAACTACCAAACTGTTTCTTATGGAGGCTGCACCGTTTTACATTCCCATGAGCAATGCATAAGGGGTCCAATTTCTCCACATTCTTAGCAACGTTTGTTATTTTCTGTCTTTTAGGTTAGATTGATCCTAATGGATGTGAAGTGGTATCACATTGTGGTTTTGCATGCTTGGATTCTTTAATCTATCTGTATATTTTGGATGTGTAAGGCTTTGTGATTTTCTATCTTGTTTTCCAAATGGCTAGGCATTTTTAACACTATTATAGTGTTGAAAGAAAGCTTCTTTTGCTTATAAAATGCCATTTTATTTTATATTAAATTACATACTTTCACTAGGTCTGTTGTTAGATATTGCTTTATTGACATTTTGTCCATTGCCATAGCAATAACACACTATTTTAGTTGCTGCCACTTTATTATGTTTCAATAACTGAGAGGAAAACTATCTTCCCAACATTGCTGTTTTTTCAAAATATTCTTGGAGATATTGGAACATTGTCTTTTCCAGCCCAACTTGAACAGCTTGCATGAAGTTCCACTAAAAACCTGTGTCCTTGTCCACTGAAATACAGAGGGTGGGTGGTTAAGATTCTGCTTAGAATTACACAGAGTCTACAGATCAGCCTGGGGATTCCTTCTCCTTATTTTACTTACCACATAAACCATTCCATTAGCTGTGTTTCCCACCAACAGAAGTATGATAACAAAGGGAAAATAATGAAGTCTAACTAAGATGGGTCAGTTTGGCCTCTTAAAGAAGCTCTGGGAAATATTTTGAGAAAGTTCTTAATTCCTAAGTAAAATGAACTGGGGTAGTGGAAAGATAGAGGGGTTTCTTTCAGTTACCTGAGCTAAAATTTATTGCATCTGGTTAACAAGAATTGACCTCAGTTATTCTAAAACTTTTGTGTCATGGGATGTAAATATGCCCCATCACACACACATATGCACATACCTGTTCTTTTCTCTAGTATGATGCTGTCCGAATAAACCAACTCTATGAACAAGCCAGGTGGGCCATTCTCTTAGAAGAAATTGACTGCACAGAGGAAGAAATGTTGATCTTTGCAGCACTACAGGTATGAGAACGTTGGTACCTTCCTCTGGAAGGAAACAAAGAAAATTTGTTCTCCTCAAAGTTTCATTTTCTTTCTACTGATTTTTTCTTTGAAAAGGAGTTGAAATTTAGTGTAGTAAATTTAAGTTTAAAATATTCCTCATAAAAAAATAAAATAAAATAAAATATTCCTCATAACCAACCCATGTATAATCTTATAAGGCATCAGTCTTGCTATCCTCATTGCTTCCACACTATGAGGTTAACCAGTGATGGAGAAGAACTGAGTTGGAACATGACTAACCATAAAGTAATTTACATTAAAATGTCATTTTCCCTGCATACCCGGGAGATCTCCTTCCAGGAGATGTTCAGTATTTTCTTTCTTCATTTGTGTTTCTAATAGTCCTAAAACCTCTGTTTCTGTTGTAGTATCACATTAGCAAACTGTCGTTGTCCACTGAAATACAGGATTTTACAAATGACTCTGAGGTTGACGAAGTAGAAGCAGCACTTTCTAATTTGGAAGTGACCCTGGAAGGCGGAAAAGCAGACAACACTTTGGTATGAATATTTCTGATAAGTCAGAATTGTGGCTTTGCTCTGATTGACAAATATAAATGAGCTTTTTTATTATAAATAAGGGAATATTTGTCTGATTTTGAAGAAAAGAAAATACTCTGTTCCTCAGACAAACTTCAACCTGACTAGCTCTTCTTGGATCAGCTCTGTAAGTGACTGTAAAGTATTTTTGTCACTCCCAATGACAGTTCTTTTGTATTATATTTCTTCTTAAAGATACGCAAGTTTGGTATGAGGGAAAGACCGGTCCGGTCTCCATTTCACTAGAGTGGAGCATGAAATTGGCCCTCTAACTGAAGTCTAGAAGAATGAAGTAGCTGTGAAAGTAAAGAGAATGCTTCTCAGATACAAAACCGTGTGATCTGTTGACCTAGTCATGCATTTCTCTGGGCAAGACTGTACACTGTAAAAAGTTCCTGAACCCTTTTGACTTTAGGAAATGAAGAAACACTCTCCAGTAAAACATAAAGTAATAACACTCCTGCTTCTTATCCAGCAAATGTGGCTGAACTGTCATCTTTATAACTGCAGTGCCCTGCCTTGTTTGATTCATTCGTTGGGAGCCAGCCTTCTGTTTAACTTCTTCTATCATTAATCACATTGAATCAGAGAGGTAGATTCATTGTAATTGGGTATAAATAGTAATAGACGTAATGAAGCATTGTATTGTATTTAATGTGTGTTCTCTTATGATTGAATTCCTTAAAATAGGAAATTGGTATAATGCAAAAGCAACTACCTCATACAAATGAAATTCTCAGATTCTGTAGAGATCCAGGCCCTGAACCACATTTATGAGACCTGGGCCCCACGAAACTGGATTTCTCTTTTGTTTACTTCCTCCACTAAACACTTAACAATGGAAAAGTCATCCTTCTTAGAACAAATGGAAAATTCCCTCTCAACGCCCTCAATATTTTTATGTGATGCCAAACAATAGTCTTTTCAGTTTGAAAATAGGCACCAACCTATACCATAGAATGAACTTTGAACCAGATTCCTTCTGAGAATCAGTAGGATTCTATATATCAGTAAACTATCTAGATATAGCTAATCTTATGATGTAAAAATTATTAAATATTTTGTTTGTACATAAAAGTAGTAGTCTCTAACTCAGATTTTTAAGTTGAATGATACTGTATGGTCAGTTTTTTGTAATCTTTTTTCGTTTGAGTAATATATGACACAGAAAGTGAAAAAATACAACAATGTACAGCTTAACAAATCAGTATTAAATTATCAGCCAAGTTACCACCCAAATCAAGAAATAGAACTTCACCAGTTACCCCCAGGATCCCCACAGGTGCCTAATCTCAGTCCCAGCCCTCTCCCACCCTACCCCTGAGGTCACTCCTGGAAATGTAGCTAGTATGAATGAGGAAGTGAGTTTTTCATTTTAATTAATTCTTATGTAAATAGTTCCACGTGCCAGTTGGGATAGAGTACCAGCACCACCTGTCTAATTACTGCTTGTCAAATGTTATCTGCTTTTCCTCAGGAGGACATTACTGATATCCCTAAACTTGCAGATAATCTCAGATTATTTAGGTAAGTCACCCTTGAAGAGGAAAGAAGTTACTCATAGCAAAATCTTGCAGGTAAAGAGTGTAGGAGTTTAAATTGAACATCCATTAGGCAGGTTCATGGTTCAAAGGTAAGAGCACAAACTTTGGCATCAGACAGATAATGGGTGGATCCTAGCTCCATAGTGCACAACAGCTGGATGATCTCAGGCATTGTTGTCATGTCTCTGAGCCTCAGTTTCCTGATCTATGAGGTGGGGATATACCTCCTCTTGGGCATGTTGGGAATATTAAATTAAATGATGCGTATGAAGCATTAAACATGGTTCCTGGCCCATTAAGTGCTGGTATAGATATGGTCGGTATTGGTGATCGTGAACAAGTATGCCAGACTTTTATGGTCCATCTGCTCAGGGCTCTCATACCATTTGAAGGCTCTTTTATGATTTAAAAGCAAGTGGTCTCTAGAGCTTTGATCCCAGACTTATAGAGAGTTGGCTTCCCTGGTGGCTCAGAGAGTAAAGAATCTGCCTGCAATGCAAGAGACATGGGTTCGATCCCTGGGTCAGAAAAATCCCCTGGAGAAGGGAGTGGCTACCCACTCCAGTATTCTTGCCTGGAAAATTCCATGGACAGAGGAGTCTGATGGGCTACAATCCACGAGGTCGCAGAGTCAGACATGACTGAGTGACTAACACACACATATACACACCTTAGTTTATCTACCTTCACCTGTTAAAGTATTTCTGAAAAACCCCCCAGTCACCTCAGATGACTCTGAAACTGTTAAAAGGAATAGAAGTTTTTTACTTTCTTCATGAAAGACTGCCACATTTGTGATGGTGCCAAGGTGGGTTAGGATGAAAGGAGTAAGGTTCATTTGAAGTACTATCAGTTACTTTATGGTTTGTTGACTTTTCTCAACAAACTGACACTTAACTTAGTTGGCTTGAAAAGAAACACTGGTTGCTTTTGTTACCACGATTAAAAGAAAAACTTGGAAAGAATGAGCAATGAATCAGGTATAAATGAGAAATAAGAGTCCAAAGGTATTTGTCACTGGGTTTCTACAGGGTTTTTTAATGTGATCTTAGCAGATGGTCCAAACAATTGGGTCATTCGTTTATCTTCTGTGGCGTAAATAGTTGTAATCATGCATATCATTACAGTCAAAATTACAGAAAAAAATAATAATTTGAATCCACAGATCTATCTTTAAAAATTATTAATTGTTCTTGAGAGAAATTTGGTTGCCATAGCTTCTATAGAGAGCAAACTGAGCTCTTCACAGACCAAATGATGACAGTATTCTTCCTATAAAATGATAAACCCTAAAAAGGAGATGATATTCTGGAAGTAAGCCCCACATCTGTATCACTTTAAAGTGACTTTTATGCTAAAACACATGAAGTTGTCCTCATATTTGGCCAGTGGACACTTTGTCTACCAAAGTTCTCAATGCATTGAATGTAATATATAATATTGTTTCTGGAAGAAAAAAATATAGGAGGAAGGGAGTGGGGAGAGTGGAGCTGATGACACAGAAAAGGAGAAGGGAAAGGAGGAAGGAGGTTGGAGGGTGTACCTCTGCTGTTGGTGGGTGTGTGACCCTTATAGGCCATTCTTTTCTCTGGGCCTCCTGTCCTCAACAGAAGAGCATTGAACTAGCCCTTTGGTTTTAAATTTTTTTCTTTGACAGTGAAGCTCTTTTTTCTTTCCTAAACCACATCTATTGAACCCACATGTAAATAATGGACTTCTCTTCCTAGCAATGTGGTATCTGATCTGATGTAAATCTCAATCTTGCTTGCCTATACAAAATTGGTCTTGAAGTGAGACTAGGAAGTCACAAGTGAGACTTCCTCAGCTTGTAGGGAATGAAGAGGGAACCAGTTCTATTAGGTTGGTGCAAAAGTAAATGTGGTTTTGTATTGTTGAACTTTGCCATTTGATATTGGAATACATCCTTAAATAAGTGTAGTTATATTATATATCATTTTAATGCCTATTTCTCGCTTTATTTTTTTTCTGCTAATGACATTACTTGCTGTGTATTTTAACATTCATTTTAGACTATGGAAATGATATTAGACAAAAAGCAAATTCAAGCAGTTTTCTTATTCGAGTTCAGAATGGGTCATAAAGCAGCAGAGATGTTGCATAGAGCCTGTAATAGTGCATTTGGCCCAGTAACTGCTAATGAACGTACAGTGGTCGTTCAAGAAGTGTTGCAAAGGAGATGAGAGACTTGAAAATGAGGAGCGTAGTGGCTGGCCGTCCAAAGTTGACAGCAACCAATTGAGAGCAATCATCAAAGCTGATCCTCTTACAACTGCAGGAGAATTTGCCGAAGAATTCAGCATCGACCATTCTACAATCATTTAGCATTTGAAACAAATTGGAAAGGTGAAAAGGCTTGATAGGTAGGTGCCTCATGAACTGACCAAAAATTTAAAAAATCATCGTTTTGAAATGTCATCTTCTCTTATACTATACAACACCAACCAACCATTTCTCGATTGGATTGTGACATGTGAGAAAAAAGTGGATTTTATATGATGACCAGTAACAACCAGCTCAGTAGTTGGACCAAGAAGACACCCCAAAGCACTTCCCAAAGCCAAACTTGGACCCAAAAAATGTCATGATCACTCTTTGGTGATCTGCTGCCAGCGTGATCCACTACAGCTTTCTGAATCCCAGCAAAATCATTACATCTGAGAAGTGTGCTCAGCAAATCAATGAGATGCACCAAAAACTGCAACACCTGCAGCTGGCATTGGTCAACAGAAAGGGCCCAGTCCTTCACACCTAACCACATTGCATATCACACAACCAACGCTTCAAAAGTTGAACAAATTGGGCTAGGTATGAAGTTTTGCCTCATCCGTCATGTTCACCTGACCTCTTGCCAACCTTGGACTACCACTTCTTCAAGCATCTCAGCAACTTTTTGCAGGGAAAAGGCTTCCACAACCAGCAGGAGGCAGAAAATGCTTTCCAAGAGTTCATCAAATTTCGAAGCACAGACTTTTTACGCTACAGAAAAAAACAAACTTATTTCTCGCTGGCAAAAATGTGTTGATTGTAAGTTCCTAGTTTGATTAATAAAGATGTGTTTGAGCCTAGTTAAGATGATTTACAATTCACAATCCAAAACAGCAATTACATTTGCACCAACCTAATACAGATGCTGGAGAAGGAAATGGCAATCCACTCCAGAATTCTTGCCTGGAAAATCCCATGGACAGAGGAGCCTGGCGGGCTACAGTCCATGGGGTTGCAAGAGTCAGACATGACTTAGCAGCTAAACCACCACCATACCTCAATGGTCTAGTGGTTTTCCCTCCCTTTCCCTAATACAGATGAAGGGCTTCCCAGGTGACTCAGTGGTAAAGAACCTTCCTGCCAATGCAGGAGACACAGGAGACGGTTCGATACCTGGGTCAGGAAGATCCCCTGGAGGAGGGCATGGCAACCGACTCCACTATTCTTGACCGGAGAATCCCATGGACAGAGGAGCCTGGTGGGCTACAGTTCATAGAGTCACAAAGAGTCAGACACAACTGAAGCAACATAGCGCGCACACACACACACAATACAAATGAAGCCTCAGTTGCACAGAGAGACTAGGCTATAGACATCGATTCTCAAGGCTCAGAGCTAGGACTGTAATCCCTGTACAAAACTTAAGGTGGGGCTGCCTCCTGTGAGAAAGTGAGCCAGGACTGAAGCCTCTGCCTAAAGGCAGAAACTTGTAAGAGCTGCCTTCTCTGCTTAACCAGGAATAGAAAAACTGCCCATCAGTGGAAGGAAGAGTAAGAAGTTCATCTTTGCATGGGGTTCTGTGTGGGGAAATGCGATGTCCTTTGAAAAATAAGAGCCATGGTCTCTGCCACACACAGATGTAGATCTAAATTTAAGTGTCTTATATGATAAAAGAATTCTGAAAAATAAAACATACTGGTCCAAAACCACAAAAGCTATGAAACCCTGGCAAATGTAATTGCAAAAATACCTAGAGAGCTGCAGAGAAACTAAACCCCCTCAAATAAACAAACAAATAAAAACCTTTCCAATACAAATTGCTAACCATGTGAGTTCACGAACTACCATAAAGGTCAGTAGGCCCAATAAATAAGAGGATTAGATAGTACAACAATCTGAAGAAACCATAAAATGAGTATGTTAAGAATCATTAAATATACTGAAAGGTTTAGTGAAATAAAATAAATAAAATTCTAGAAACTCTAGAAAAGAAAAATATAGAAATTAAAAATTGAATACATGTGTTAAACATCAAGTTCAAAACACAGCTAATGGAATCCCCTGTCAGTCCAGTGTTTAGGACTCAGATTTCACTGCCAAGGGCCCAGGTCCATTCCCTAGTCAGGGAACTAAGATCTCACAAGCCACACAGCATGGCCAAAAATAAAAAAAAGTTAAGGAGAGGACTTAGAAAGATAAAAGTGGAAAATATGATATAAGTAGAATTAGAGGGTTCAACTAGGAGTTTAAGAAGGGAAAAAGGGTGGAGAAGCAAGCATTCAAAAGAGAATACTCCTGGACTTGCCTGGTGGTACAGTGGATAAGAATCTGCCTGCCATTGTAGGAGACACAGGTTCGATCCCTGATCTGGGAAGATTTCACATGCTGCAGAGCAACTAAGCCCGTGAGCCACAACTACTGAAGCCCATGCACAGCCAAATAAATAAATAAAAAGCCAACGAGAAACTCTCAGGTTAAGAGGAAACTGCAGAGATTGAACATTGCGGCTCTGCCTTTCTCTGAGCATTCCTTGAAATGGCATACACAAATTACAGGAAGAATTTCTTTGAAGGGCTATTAGATGAAGAAAATGTGATTCTTACATTGTATCCAGTTAATGAGGAAATTGTTGAAGACCATCAAGTGGAACCAGGTGTTTCCTCAACTTCAGAAGTCAAAGAGGAGGCATTGAATACAAATGATCAAGTTCCTCCTCCTCAAACAAATGAGCTTGAGGAAGCTTGTCGGAGCTCTAGC